ACGAGGGTATGAAAACCCTAACCAGAGGACTAGGTCACATAGGTCCCGTTAGGCTCCCTGGATGGGGCCCCCGGGATGGTTGTACCCGATGGTTAGAGACACTGAGTGATATGGCTGGGTGTCGTAAACAGTGACGTTCGTTCAGGTTCTCAATTTCTCTGTATCATTAATCCACTGAACTTTTCAAGCTTCTCTTCGATCCTACTTTCAACCTTTCCTGTCTTTCTCCTGATGCTCATTCAATGGGTAGCCGAAAGATAGCAACCGAAACAGGCGCACGATAGTGTATGGTTAATGGTTGTGCAAACTGAAACGGAAACTCATCCAAATTCAGAGCGATACCGGATCAACCTCAAAACCATTATTCCAATGTACTGGCACTTACCCCGGTGTTGCTAATATGCTCATTCAGTTCTACCTGCATCACACCCCGTAAACAACGACTTTCGCGGAATCCCCCCCCGCCTCGCACACACACGAGAAACGGAAGTTTTGCTATGGGTTAGGATCTGCGCAAAAGATCCTTGCGGTTATGTGGTGTGTCTTTTCCTTTTTGTTTTTTATTTGCATTCAATGTCTTCAATGTGGATAATGCCTCAGTATGGTCAGGTGGGTGTCTCGGGTTGTGACTGGTCACCACTCCCACCACACCTCGCGAATACATACCAGTGTGTGATGAACATCAGACGGGGCGAACCCCAAAGTCAGGAGGACCTACTGTTCAGTGATAGTGGTAATCCGCAACTTGAGCCCCGGGACTTGGAGTGATGAACCAAATACGGCCCCGTTAGGTCAGGCTTGGTATAGAACCGAACGACAGCACAGCTGCCTACCACTTGAGTTGGGTGGCTTTGGCGGGGTTCCAGCCTCGAACCACAGGGTGTGTAGCACGCCGGTGACCGCGACTAAACCATTGCGCTACTATACAACTGAGCTTCTCAAATAGCTTCTGCTGAGGAAGCCCTACTCACTACCTTCCCATGGTGGAGGTGTATTCGCGCAAAAGTGATCGGACGAAAAGCTAACATCCGGGACTATAACCTGGTTGGTGAACCATTAGCAGGGGAGTTGGCTAAAAACCCTAATTACAAACCAAGCAAGAGGAGGCGTACGAACCACACACCTTCCTGGTTATGGCAGTGGTCATCAGCAGGATTGGGCATCAAGATGTATTGGACGTTTGACCCTATCCAAAGGGTGTGTGATCCGGTGTACTGGACACCGGTCCCCAATGATCTGTGGACTCTGAGCTCCGTTCTGTTGTCTTGCAGGTCTGGCTTTCTAGCCGAAGGCTTCGGGTGGGGTCCTCGAGGTTATCCACCTTCCTCGGTCAGGACAACCGAGAAGTAACAAGCCCACACAGCTTATGAACACATTTTACATATTTTTTTTCATGTGTTGCGGCACATTTTCCAGTACTCTGTAATTGGTTACGTGTTAAAATAAATAAATAATGCCAAACAGTTCAACCATCGACTGTTGTATTTATTTGTATTTTCACACACATCTGAATCCAGACTGTGTGCCAAACAAATCATGGTACAGTCATCTTTATAAAAAAGAAAAACGTTCCATGATTTGCATGTGGGCCGAATACTGCCAGGTTACCCAGGCCAAGGCAGGTAAATTTTCGTGAGGGATCCACAACCGGAGCCTTTGGCTAGCCAAAGAATGACCCTCAAGGCAGCGTAGCGGTGTGTGAAAACTGCAATCCATTGGAGGCCAGTGTTCAGTTCATCGGATCATACACCGTTTGGACGGGGTCAAACATCCAAGATGCCCAATCGATCCACTGACCACTACCGTAACTAGAAAGGTGTGTGTGTGCGTGTGTATGTGACTCGTATGGCTCTTCATGGTTGGTTTGGAATCAGGGTTCTTAACCAATCCTCCTAGGTGAACTACCAGTTGTCCACCAATCCGGATATTGCCCCGGATGTCGGATTTTCGTCCTCGCACTTTAGTGGGAGACACCGCTCCGAGAACACAGTGAGTAGGATTTCCTCAGCAGAGGCTATTTGAGATGCCTGGTCGTATGGGAGCATTTCACAAGGTGCAAGTTGAGGGATGACCAGTCGCAACCCGAGACACCCACCCCCGACCATACTGAGGCTTTTGAAGGCATCAGTTGTTGTACTCAGTCAAGGTTTTCGATTGGTTTATGAACTAACTAACCAAGAAATTAGTAAGGCATTTATTTGGTATTGGTGGTGGTGGTGGCTGCACGCGCATTCAGTGATTTAGTCACAACTTTTACCCAGTTTATCAGTAAATTATTAAGTAAAACATGGCAATTCTTAGGGTTCATATTTAGTCCGTTGTAAAGAAATCTCGTGGCACTGGTGTGGTTAGGATTAAACCAGATGGTGTTTTTGGTCAAGTGGTTTAGATCACTGACACGAGAATGCATCAGCTCTTAACGTTCGAGGTCCACCTATCTATTCTCACAGGGTTCACGAGTTCCACCCAGTCAATTAATCTGAAGAGTCAATGTGCGTGTTCCAGCCTTCTGCACCGATGAGGGCGTCGGCTCACTATCATATTTATCCCATCCTGTTGTGTGATTCGCTATTCCAAGTTCCAATATTTGATTTGCAGATTCCCATTGCCAGTCAATTATTCCTCGTGACTATTTGTAGTACTCTTACTGTGCTAGAAAAAGATCAAAAGATCAAACTAACTTTTAATGGTGAAAGTAACACACTGCCAGATTTGTCTGTTTTTGTTTCCATTGGGCGTTCTCTGACTGCATGTAAGTTACTGGTTTGAAACGCGCCGACACTTAACGGCAACCCGATTGTCAGCCGCGGTTGAATGGCGACACGTCTTAGATTAGTCACTTGATCTGATTTCAGCGCAATAGGAGAGTGTAGTATGAGTGACTATTGATTTCTTCGTTCTGTTAATCTGATTTAGAATGGCGTCTAGTGAATTCTGAAGCAACCAGTTGATGCATATGCAGTCAAAAACTCTATTTGTAGAGGTTTCTCTTATTACACCGGGGTTGGTTCGATTTCCTTAAGCTTCGACATCCCATCTGAGTTCCCAGGGTATTTGAAGCCCTCCACCGTCGAAATGCTTCCTCGCTTGTTGATTGAGGCATCTTGTTGTGTCACGTAAACAGATCAAAATGCTCTAAATTCGTAATTTATCATATTCCGTGGTTCTTGCTCAACTGAGCACAACGGTATATTATATTTCACACACGTTTGAGTTTAGACTGTGTACCAAACAAGTCACGATGCAAAAACCTTTATAAAAATAAAATGCTTCATACTTTACTTGTAAGAGAAATACTGCTAGATTACCCAAAACGAAGCAGCTGCATTTTCTTGCAGACTTCACAACTGGAGCTTTCGGCTAGTTAGAGCCAGACCCTCAAAGCAACGGGACGGTGTGCAAAACCCGCAATCTATTGGGGGCCGACGTTCAGGTCATTAAATCATACTCCCTTTAGACGGGTTCAAACGATCAAAGTATTCAGTACACATAGATGCCAGATTAAGCCGTTGAACACTATCACAACCAGGAAGGTGTGTGCACACCTCTTGGTTGGTTTGGAACGAGGGTTTTTAGCCAACTCCCTTAGGTGAGCTTCCAGTGGTTCACCCACCTGGTTATGGCCTATGTGGTGGCTTTTCGTCCTCTGTTTTTTTAGTAAAATCACCTCCGTCATGGGAAGGCAATGAATGGGGCTTCCTTAGTAGAGGTTTTTGAGACGCTTGATTCTGTGGGAACATTTCGCCCGATGAAAGAAAAGGTTGACCAGCCACAACCCAACACATCCATCCCCGACCATTCTGAGGCACAATGATGCACGAGTAGAACATGAGGTTTCAGTCACGGAAGAAGTTATTGACCCTGTGTAGGTGCTCGTTTTATGCATCCGGAAGTCCGATGCCACACCGAGCGATCGTTCGTTGCGTAAACGGATCACATGATAAACCGAGGTCTTATGTGGTTCGGTACTCCGGGGCTTCAGTTGCCGGCTTCCATCACTAGACAGCAGCTCTTCACGACGGTGGTATTCTTTGCTTCTGCAATTCGTCACACAAATGTGCGTGCAATGAAAAAAAGCGAAACCGACCGTAATGAGCGAAAACCTGTTGTGAGTACTGATCGTTTATGGTGAACGTCTATGAATCGCTGAAACAGAATCCACTACAATGCAGTCGAAAGACGTCATAAAGATCGGCCAACTTTAATGTGTTGGTGTCACGTGCCACTCAAGGAGGTAGTCCATTGCCATACCGTCCCCCCCATTAACTGCCACCGGATCGCACTCCAGAGGTAATACCTTTTCCAATATGGGCGTCTGAAAATTGCGGCATTCCCATCAAGTCCTCGATTTATTTGTCTAGGAAAGCTACTTGATCTGATGCGCTACTTAGCGCAACAATCTAAGGAACCAATTCCCAACCGGTGATTCTGTCATGCTCATGCGATCCAGGACAGTGTGTTTTTGACCAAGTTTAGACAGACTGACGCAGTCGGTGACGGATGGCTGAAACACTCATGTCGCCCTCGAGCTAAATTAAGTTAGTTTCTACTTTCTCATCGTCTTAACCGAACTAGTTGTCCGAATCACCCAAAACATTTTTTCGCTGTGACTTGCCCGCTTTCAAACTATATATTCACACACAATCCACTGCGCATCTAATCAACCAAAATGAATAAGTCACGTACCCCATACCACTGCTCACAACTAATTGCCAGTTCAAAATATTTATCATTTTATTCTTTTACAGTGTAGGTTTTCAGCGATTTCTGTCCGTTTCTTTGTTTTTGTTTTCACATCGATCCCAGTGACGAAACTCCGATGGTAAGACGTATAGTCGCTGGTCGACTAGGTGAGCTGGCATTAGCTATGATTAAAGGAATTGGTGCGGAAGAATCCGAAAATTCCCCAGGATCTACAAAATCAGAGCTGAAAAATAGCCCCACTCCGGGAACAGGTCCTGAATCGAATTCTGGAGACACAGTTCTCCCGAATTCCATCGGAGCCATTAATCAGATTAAGACGGAGGTTGAACCAACAAACTCGTCTGAATCGCAAGATTCAAAACCGGCCGAGACTCCCGCTGCATCTGATTCAGCGAATGAAAACGCGCCAACTGCCGGGGATCAAACCAAATCGGAAGAGGGAGTGAACAAATCCGGGAAAAAGGATGATTGGGCAGATTTTGAACTCGATCCGGAATCTGAACGGTCTTACGTCCTGAACCTTATTGTGCCAATGTTCGGCCGGCTAATCGCAGATGATCAGGAATCTGTTCGACTGATGGCCGTCGAATCTATTGTCGGTCTGATTAAAGCTCTTGGTCCCAGTGAAGCTGAGAACAAATTGGTCGAGATGATTGAACAGGCCGTGGCAGATAAATCGTGGCGTGTGCGGTGTACCATGGTAGACAAGTTTATTGACATGTTTACCACTCTCGGACCGAATATATCGCGTTCGCGACTGGTGGTAAGTGTGTTTGTGCCGGAGTTACATCCAAGAATTAGCAGGTTATTGGCGCATTTTATTTGTGTTTGTGCAACAAAATTTGCTTGATTTATGGTATGCTGTTTACTCAATTAGTGCCCTTTTAATGCTAATGCCCCCTGAATGGGGAATCCCTCTACCATAAATCAGTGCTATCAGTTCCATTTCGTACATTCTTTTCAACCACAAAACATTAACTATGAGTTTAACAGTAGTGAATTGTAAGCGAAACACAGTATCAACTTACCAGTCTCTCTGAATCGGCTAATTATCCCAGTTAAAGAAAACTGGAAGACGGCTTAACTATCGATTGCTGCAACACTGAGGCACCGATGTCTCCAAAGAACCCCTCAAGTCTGATGGCAATGCCAGCTGACTGATCGCGAGCTTCATGTTGGTTCGACACCACCTTTTGTGACTCGGATGTGTATATTCCCGTTCATCATCTACCTTTACGGGTTATCCTTTGTGCGTGCTCAACAAGGATCATGTCAGAACGAATGGGGAGTGTTCGTGTGGGTGAGCACGAAGTTGTTTGCCTGTCTCTGCTACGTAATGTTGGTCATGGTGTAGATACGAAATTGTGTACACCACTCCTGATTAGTCGTGTGATTCTACATTGTCCTTGCCGTGGACCAAAGTTAAGATGTCCGTTTTTATGAAATAACTGGAACGGACGAACTTGTTTTTGATTCTGCAATTATTGTGCACTGCAGTGTGTCGACCCGGCTGGGCGAAATGCGTACACAGCTTTTCAGGTGACGCACTGAATAATTACCATTGTCCTTCGGAACCTGATCTGATTTTGTCTATCTTGTGGACACAGTGACTTCTGTTTATCCGTCTGGTTTTCGTATGAGATGTAAATCCAAGAACTTTAGTCATGTGTAGTTTTTCTTCCTCAGGGTATGAGCAGTGTCTCTAGCATAGCAATATTTTAGCATAGTGAAACCGTTCGATTCTTACTGCTGGTTGTACCACAAAGGTCTCG